TCACTGATAAGAAAAAGTCAATCTCGACGGTCCAGATGGATATCAGCATCACTGGAAAGGCCTTTGTAGCGATCCGTTGGTGTTCTCGAGAATTTCGGAGGCCACTCTTTGATGGTGGTTTTGGAAGCAGAGGAAAGTTGGAGCTCACCTCCCTACCGTGCTGTGTGAACAAAGAGGAATACAAGGAGTGCTTGAGTCTAACCTCTTGCCTTCAAACGCTAGACCGATACCTATGCTTCCTTGAGCTTCGAGAGCTGGCAGACGCTGGTGGACGCTGATAAACGGCTAGTGAACGCTGGTAGACGCTAGACTGATAACTGTACATACAAGCCGCTGTCGCTGCCAGACGCTCGAAACGCTAGTGGACGCTGCCGCAAAGTATAAAGCAGCCAAGCTGTGGGCAACGCTATTCAGACCTGTACGTGGTTCAATATTGAGGGTTCCATCGTGTTCCCGAGAGCTGTATTGGTTCCTATTTGGTGTTTCAGGAATCGTCCCATTTCTGTTGATTACAGCGAAGCGATAAAGGCGAAAAATTTCAGGAAGCATTTCAACGCTTTCATTTGAAGAACGACGGAATACACAATTCTCATCACTACATTAACATTCGGCTGGATATATTGTGTCGATCTATTATAAGGCTTTTATTATTCCCTTTTAAAAGCATTACAATTGCATTTCATACATATTACTATAGAAACCCTTGAATTCATCGTCAGAATGAAGAATAAAATAGAATAAGAGTGGAATAGAATATAAAACGGCAGTCTGGCGCCGGTCGAACGGTTGTGCTTTTCCTCGCTTCTTCACTCCCTCGTGGATCGAATCTCTTTTCAACTCTGCCAATCGCAAGAGATATTGTGCACTAGTGACATCAAATGGGGTATTTCGTGGAACTTATTGAGATCATTGCGAATACTTTTTCATTTTTTTAAAAATGCCAAGAACGGTGTCCCACCCAGACCTAGGCGAAGTGATGCTCCGATGTGGGTGACAACAAGGGGACCAAACCATAATGTGGTGGAGGGCCCACTCCTGCTAACAAAAGTGGACTTTGATTCCATAGAAGTTTTACAGGACATACGAGCTCGTTCAGGACAATGAAAGTCGTCCTCTTATCGACGTGGATCGTCGCTCTCCTAGTAAGCCTTTTCGTGGAACGTCTAAGAATATTTCGTGGAGAGCATTACATCTATAGAAGTCCATTCATGACATTATTAAAAACTCTTTCAGATGTGCTCTCTGACCGGAATCATTAACGCGTGCCATATGGAACCGTGTCGTATCCGGGAGAATCACCGAGGAAGTTTCGTGAAAGAGAACGGCTTTATAAACGAGGGCATTGGAATTGGCGAGACCTTGTGAGGCTGCAGACTATGCCGGACATAGACCACGTTATAAAGCATAAGTAATGGTGTTGAAATGAAAAGGGGAATTTGCCGGAGACGCGTCGATGAAGGGGAAATTGCAAAAGGAGCAGATACAGGAACACTCCTTATAGGGCCCAATTCTCTTCGAGAGGCATACAAGTGCAAAGGTCATTGGTCATTTCATTGCCCACTTGTGAGCTCGTAGGATCCATAATGAGGAGTCAGCCAGGTGAACCCGTCCAGTTAACCTGGCTGACTCCTCATGGTGAATCATAGGACCTCACAAGTGCTCTTCTGTAGCATAATTCATTTTGCTGTAGGACACACTATGAAAGCGGCGCGGAGTGTGGAGGCGGAATCGCTGAAAAAGAACTCCCGTCAAACTTATACCTTTCCGAAACCGATACTTGACCGTCGCGAACAACAAGTCTTTTGGCTTCTCGCCTGGCACAGTCGCGGCTTGTTGCAATGCGAGGACTTCCAAGTTACTCTTCAGGTCGTTCTCCTACATGACGACTCTTTGGGCTTCTTCGTTGCAAAACCATTCTGCCTGGTTTGCCTTGTCACCAAACATTCCTTTTTACACTTCAGAGGATCATCTCCACTGCGTTGGCCCAGGTTTCCTTGACTGCCGTGCGCATCTGGGAGCCGAATCACACATTCCTCATCTTCGGGATATGAAGTCTGCAGAATTGCGAGCTTCGTCTAGAAGTCACTTATTGCGAGGGATCTGCTGAATTAATAAAAAAGGAAGAAGCTGAGTTGATAAAAAAAGTAGAACCTTGACCAAACGTGCTCGCTGCTCTATCCTTTTGAATCCCTGAAACGCGGTAGGTGTGGCCACGTACTCCAAATGAACAAGCTGCGAATGTGGTGCTTGGGACGTTTGTAGTCATGTACCTATTTGGTGCACGAGAGGATGACAGTATTTTCGGATGGAAATATACAAGAAAAACGCTCTCTGCGCAATGTTAAAATTATGCTGGCAGCCACGCCCTCTCTACATTTCCGGTATAACAGGCTCAGCATCGCTGTGCGAAAACTGACGAGTGAGCCGTTACATGGCCGCTAAGGGGAGTGGTGAGGGTCGTAAGTGCAGGGTCGGTGTGTCAACAACACAGCACATAAAAGTGTCACAGCGTAAGGTTGTCTGCGTGCGGAATCAGCCACTTATTAGAACGAGCCCCGAATTGTAAGACGACAAAATATCAAAATAATCAACTAAAAATATTGATAGTTAGCATGGATTCGTAATCACATAGACTCTTGACAACTATTATTATTTATACTACCAGTAGTTTTATATTGGCGTGTCAAAAACCAAAACACGATTTTGAGTAAACATTGAATGCAACCAGTGATAGCCTAGGAGTGTGGGTAAACTGAGAAGTAGTCTCTTTTGAGGTTGCTTACTTACCAAGTTCCCCGGATCGAGTAACTTCGCTACGCAGAGAAAGCGGTATGGTGGTTTTTACTTCTGCACAAGTTCGTGCATGGCGAAACTGTTGAGCTGGGAGAAGTTTCGCACCGCTGTTACCCTACATTATTCGAGTATAGATATTCAATGGGCGAAGCAAAACTGCATTGCAGGAATTTTTCACGTGCAGAGCGATCCTTTTCTGGAAAGCTAAAAGAGAAGGGGCCGAAACCGCTGAACTGCTGAAGTACAAGAGACTTGGGTCACTTGGGCGACTCGTTCTTCGGCAGGGCGGTGGACCTTGCGCGGGTCCCAACATCTTTCCCACTGATCTCTGTATTGAGCCTTTCTTGTCCAGTGTATAGAGGCCTTGGAGAAATCTGATCATAATTGCTGCGATAGTTCAGGGAATCTGCCCAGCGCAGAGGAGGGCGTCACGACGGTCGCTTCTTGTCACGCGGGTACCATCGTATGGTCGCAGAACTCCATCTTCCGTCATTTCTCCTACCCACATGGCCGGCAGTTGAATTTTTTGCTTCGTAGACGTGAAGTGCAATGTTCTTGATCTTCGACATGGCTCTGACGCCTTAATTATGAAGTTTTAATTCTCGTTGACGGCTTAAAGTCAGGCCACTAGGCGACGCTCGGAGAGTGAAATTCACCTCCTCCCACCGCCTCTGCGTGGGAGCGTAATGCACGGCACATCCTCCAATCAATGACAGTCAAGCTATGCTTTCTCCAACTTAAAGGGGGAAATGTTTTGAAGGTGTTGAGGTTTCCTAATGAGTTTGTCACAATGGTAGAGAAGTGGTCAAGCTTTCGAGCGACTCAGAATTTGGCTTTCCAAAAGCCCTTCTAAAATATCTTCTGAATCAAAAGATCTTCAAAACTGCTTGAAGAAAGAGGATATATTATTCAGTTTCGTGAGGAAATTTCCGGTTTTGCAAAAGCTTGCGCATGAAAGAAGTTACTGTCGTCGAAAGCATACAAAGTCTAGTGCGGTTTACAGTGAAACTACCCTGAAATCCCATAGATAGAGCGGTTTGAATTTACCGAGGTTGAAAAATGAATTTGGAATGAATTGAAATTGAAAGCAGTCACCCCTAACTTGATGGATGGATAAATAAAAATCGGAGAAGAAGTTTAGAAGAAGCTCCGCCCCTCAACTCTAAACCCCGCCCACTTAATAAACAATTCATATAGAAAAATAGCGATTTTAACGGAATTTCTGCCGGAATCTCTCTAGAAATGCCGGAATTTGATCTCTGGATAGAACTTGAAGAGCCCATTCGATCAGTAAAATTCCATAGATAAGAGCGGTGTTATTTACCGGTAAAAAATGATTTTAAATAAACATTTTTAAAAGTTTATTTCACAACAACTAGCACAAACCGCCCTTATCTATGGACCGCTCTTATCTATGGGATTTTAGGGTATTGAAACCCAACAAAATAATTCTCAGAAAAAAATCTAGATGATGGGGAGGGAAAAGACGCAACGTTGAAGGAACGGTCTGCAATGATCTATGAAAATGCAAGAGGTTATTCGCGAAAGTAGTGCGGTCCGGAAGGGACAACACTGTGCCAGTTTCGCGGCGGAAAGTATTACGTTTAAGGCGTAGAGTTACTTCAGTGGTCCCCGCCTCCAGACTCCGCCTCCAAAGTTGGCCTTCCAGCCAAATGTAATGTAATGTAATGTAATGCTCCCGAGCAAAAACCATGGAATGGATGCATTCAAGGTCTCTTGTGGACTCATAGGGTTCATTAGAAGGAATCAGTCGGAGAGAATCGTCCCAGCACGCGGTTTTTTCGGTTTTTTACCTCTGCAGTTGCATAGGGCTAGAGAAGGCCCTGATAATTTGGTGAGCAGCACAGTAGGCTGGATTCACAGGTCTGTTAGTACTTGACAACAAGAAACCTATTCAAATTAGTACTCCAGTATCATAAATATAATATTATCAATGAGGTTCGCTTTCGAAGCGCTGTCGCCCCTCTAAATTCCTTGCATTTCTGTTGGTGTAATTTCGCTATTTGTATGGATTGCGCTTTCCTTTTTTCCTTCTCCTGCATTGGAGTCCTGAAGAGCCTGGTTTTATAGGTGTGCAGAATTTTTTGGTGATCACAGTAAACGAGTAAATTTATCAAATAATTTATTGCAAACATCTCGTCCTCATTTATGCCAAAACTTTCCAAATAGACCGCCGTAGCCACCACTCATTTTGGACCGCGAGGACCTCCTTGACCGCCTCCTGGGCCTCTAGGACCACCTGGAGCTCCACCCATGGCGGCACCTGAAAGCAGCTCCTCGGCATCGAGGAATAGTTCTTATCAAAAAAGCATGTTCCAATCTTCAACTATAATGACGGAAAAACTTTCAAACCTGGACCGCCAGGGCTGCCAGGGCCGCGAGGGCCGCCTGGACCGCCTGGACCGAATGGACCGGGGAAGCCGCCTGGATATCCGAATAGACAGGGAGGTGGTGGTGGAACGTAGAACGGTGGTGGGTAAGGAGGAGGGCCATAGTAGGCGGGAGGACCGTTCCCTGAAACTCATATTTAGCATCATCTCACTTCATATCGTGCAATGTGTGCCTTTGTAGGCGTCTTTGACAATAAATCCATTCCCCTTTCTCTGATTTAGCCAAGAATCAATCAATCTTACGAGAGTGTCAAAGATATTGGCACGTGTAAGGTAATTAGTGGACGGTAACAATGACACAAACAGTAGCTGATGATAGGTGATAAGAGGCGTTTCAGAGCGAAAAACAGCACTTCGTGACAGGCATCGCAGCATAAATGAAGCTCTGTGACTTGAAGAAGTGATAAAGGCGATTGATGATGGATGGTAGAATATGATAAAGGTAGGTAAGGACTGATTTGGGACCTTGGAAAGAGGCGTCACCAACTTTGTCATGTACTTTCACCGTTCTAGCTTCAGGGTCAGCCAAGAACAAGGGATTGCAGTTAGAGGCATGATGGTGATGGCTAAAAGGTACTGATACGAGTTCGACAATATCTGAAGTATTTTTACTATTTTATTGCTAGACTACGGAATGCTGCGAGTCACTGTGGCTGGAATATCAGACGCCAGAAGCCCTTCTGTGAACATAATGCATTTCTTCCCCATTTGATTTGAGCAAAGCTCACTGTACCGGATAAAGTGCACCATCAACTCGAACGACACAAATATTTTTTTCAGGCTTCCCTCCTGCGCATTTTTTTGTGTGGGGTGTGTTTTCCTGTCCATAAGAATGCAGGGTATGTGGTGTCAGACCAGCCCCCTCCCCAAAAATAGGATCCTGGTACGACCCCCTCCCCCTCCGGCTCTAATTGTTTGCTATGTCGATAAAGCTTAATCAAGAATAGATTACGATTTGCAAGACCTCCCGGCTGCGTAGCCCTCCCAGCGCATAGTGGCGCTGGAGCACACGTTTTGATAGAGTGAAAATCGCGGGGCTTCTACTGTAGTGATAGTTTTTTAGTCGTGGGGCTTTTGCGATATATTGAAGCAACCTGTCTACTGTTCCGTTTTCTAACTACTGCGCATCTGAATCTTCCCCCTTCTCGAAGGATCTGGATAGTACAGGGCGTGTTAGTGGCAGTTCGCGAACGGAGTTTTTGTGTTTCACAAGAGAATACCTCCCTAATACGCAACAGTTTGCAATGCTTTAAAAAACTATCACAAAGTGCGATACCCCCTTTTTACAGAACAGCTGCATTTTTCTGATTTTGCTCTTGAAGACATTTAATATGGGTTATTGATGGGCGAACTTTGAGCCACTCAAAAACTTGACTCCTGTGAGATGATAAGAAAACTGATTCGGGAGCTCTAATGCACCTTCAGAACACATATTCTGCTTCAAGGAGTGGAAGTAGAGCGGTTATTATTGATCGATTTGGTCTGGGTGTGCGCCGTGCATTACGCTTTTACGCAGAGGTTTAAATAAGTAGTTTCTGTTTGAAGGTGATTCTTGTATACGCAAGAAGATGTTTCTTTATGGTTTGGAAAGACCGATATGCACGAATCCTTTTGAGTTGTGTTATTTAGTCATCTACGTACTTAAGAGTTCAAGCTAGCTATTGATACTGCAATTGATACTTTATTATTTTCAGTCTCCCACACTTCCGGAATTCGGAATTAACGATAGCACTTTTGAGCTGCTTAGCGACATTGCGCTTGCATCCCCTCCCCCTTCCCAGCGGCCAAGTACGACTCCCCCGATGGTTTTAGCACAGTGGCCGTGAGTCTTCACAGTGATGACTGCTACCTCTCATGCGGCACATTTTATGTGACTGTAGCGCTTAAAGGCAGTTGGAACGATAAATTGGTACTCGACCTAAAATGCTAGCAAAGCGCTGTATAGGGGGAGGGGAGGGGGTGGGAAATGGCGAAAGAACGGAGTGAAATGGTAATGACTCGAAAATTATTTACGGACGAGTTTCCCGTAGACATCCTGCCAATCGCTGCGGTAGGAACGGCTGTATGAATGTAATGTATATCCATACAGCCCCTCATACCCATTCCTTCGCTTTACAAATTGCTAAGCAAATGAAGTCAGGAGCGGGGACGTTTGGGTCAGTATGTTGTAGCCTGATAGAGCCCTTATAAGGGTACCTCCCTTGGAATTAGCGCTGCGCAGCGTCTCCCAGGGAGCGGAATTCAGTTTCAAAAGTACTTGTCTTTATGGATTTATCGTGCCAACTGCCTTCGGGCGATGACTCAACGACATTAGAAGCAATAACAATGACCCTATCACCGCCCTTCGGCCGTTTATCTGCCCGCGCGGGTCGTGACGCAGGAAACCATGATGAACAGGGAGTTCCTGGCAGAGGTACAACTCACTATGAACCAGCGAGGGTTTATAGGTAGAGGGGTTGGAAATAGAAGTGTAGAAGGAAGTGTAGAAGTTGGTATCACCGCAACCAGTTGGGTCAAGATGGATGGACTGACGTCATAGCTCTTGGAAACGGCCAAGCTCTACATGGAGCGTTCCCACCACAACTTGTTTTCTTCCTGAACTGATCACTAGAAGATCGACATTGGTAGAGCAGGACAGCTAGAGGCGGGTCCATTGCGTCCTCCTTACACACCCCGCGTCGGATTGCGATGTTCAAACTGGATGGGATAGTTTATTCGCCAGTGAAGAAAAAAGCAAAGGAAACACTGTGGAAATGCTTCAACTACAGCCCCTGTGAAAAGCGAGAAACAACGAGTTGATATGGATTCCGGGCTGAAAGCAGCGAGAGAGCATCCAAACGCTAGACAGAAGATAAGACATCTTTCAGCGCGGAAGGATCTACTAGAGCAAGCTTGTGCCTCACCGCCGCTACATCTCCCTTCAAGGAGCTTACTATTTGATAAATATAAATGGTTGTAGGCTCTGCTGCTTCGAAAAAATCCTCCAAACTTTGATTGGTAAGCGCTTTAGGTGACATGCAGTGATTTGGTCGATATTGTCCTTTCCAAGAATTTGAATCCTCTTTGGCGTTATTGTTTTTCGCATATTGGCCGCTACGTGATCTAAAGTGCTCCTCCCAGTGGGGTATCGCATCACGAATTTCGAAGTATAAAGTAAGTACTAAATTAAGTAGAATGTCAGAAACTGGCAGGAACTCATGGACAAGGACCATATGACCTTATTGGTTCCAACAGTCAACAATACAGTGCACATTAAGGGTATCGCGGGGGCTAACCCTTTAAAAAGGTTCGGTGGGTCGCCAAGTTCCTCTTATCGTGAAGGAACTTGGCGAACCACCGAACCTTTTTAAAGGGTTACCCACTTATCAGGACCGAATTTCAAGCGATTTGTGCAATGGACTGAACACGAAACCTAGCGCAGAAGAGTTAAGGGGGCAGTGAAACAAGCGAAATGGAATGCACAGAACCACTGGACAAGATTCAGCAAGGTTTCTTCCGTTCAGCCCACTACAACCAGAAAGGATCAGATTTGTGAAGAGACCTTGACTTGGGGAATTTTGTGCTTTTGCACATACTTTTCTGAAGCTAAACCAATAACCTTCAAAATGTTCTGTACCTTGTGGTACTTGTGGTCCTTTCTGGCTAGACACCATGCAGACCAGTGCAGCAAATAAGAAGAGTGTTGATGCCCCCATCTGGAAGGACAATGTTGGGACGGAGAAACTGATGTCTTCCATTTTCAAGTGATTTTTCTACGCCTATTACTATTTGGTCTCACCCCTGGTGACTGAATGAATACTGTAAATACTTACTTGTATCTATGGTATAGCACTCACCAGAACAACGGAAGCAGTCGTCGACACAGCCGATTGCCATATAGGAAGGACTTGGGTTTCTTTATATACGGAGAGCATTTCATTAATATGCGGTGGGAAAGCTTTTACCGTAATCATTCTGATTATGTGGCCAGAATATTGCCCCTACAGTACACCTTCTCCTCACATCGTTTTGCTTATTCAGGAAAAGCTCAACAACATCATAGAATCCTGCTCAGACCTAAGTCTCGTTTGCTGTAGATGCTGCGGAGGGACTGGATCGGAGCAGCGCCAGACCGCTTGCTTTTAATTGCTGAAGCGACAGGCGAAAACTGGTGGGAAAGGGGCTGGTACTCCGTCAAATCCAGCCTCCCCCCTGACAAGCTGCGCGGCTGGCAAAATAGTGATTATCAATCACTCTTCTTTTGACTAATTCTTCTTCGCCTTCTTCTCATTGGTAACGTAAGTACTACGCCGTCCCTGTCTTTTTAAGACGTTGCCACCTTGGCATCTTCTGCCAATGGCATCTCCTGCCATGGTCCTCACCTTGGTGAGATCGTTATTGATGTTGTTCCTCCCCTGTTTCCAGAGCGTGCCCATAACTTACAAAGCGATATGATTCATAGAGTTCATCAGTGGGAATCAGGCGACGATTCATTTTCCTCCACATTTCTGCAACATCACCTAGGTTTTTGAACGCGAACCGTGCCTTCAAACCATCGCTTCACCTTCCAGATCCCGAAAGCCCCGAAACAAAAATTCATTGGTTCCAGGAGAAGCACTGCGATTCCAACCTTGTCCACAAGTCTGCTCCAGCGCTGATTTGCACTACCAGAAAGTTTTCATTGGTTCGGCAGGAGAGCACTGCGATTCCAACCTTGTCCCCAAAGTCTGCTCGCAGTCGCTTGAGTTTGCACTCAAATCAACGATCGCTGCGCGAGGCGCATGCCAGGTCGCTTGGTGTTCAATCGTTGTCGCGAGCCGCCGAATTAGAGCTAAGAAGGGGATCGGTATGTAGGTCCTCGTCCCTGTTGTATTAGGGAGGGGTGGTGTCCATTACCTGACGTCCATATTACGCATCACAGCGCTGTACATTTCGCTGGGAACGCTGGGTTCCTGTACAAGCTATTATCTAGTCATTGCGATCAACACGTATCTACTCTTTCCGAACATTCACTGAGATGGCCCGCCTGCTTCCCATCGATACCTCTCAAAATGTTTGCGTAGAAGTCCGTTTTTCCCCTGCCCCTCTTCGATCTCGCAGATTCGCGAAGGCGCGTCAAACGTTGAGGCAGCGTCCATTAGCGTCTGGCTGCGTCTCGACGGCTATGGAAGTATAGGTATCGATCTAGCGTCAGCTAGCCTCTACCAGCGTCCACCTGCGCTTACCGGCGACCAAGTGTGGAGAATCTGCGAAGAAGTAGGGTAGCAAACAGCTGAATTAGACGTCGTGAAATAGTGGTGTGTGTGCAACCGCACCGTACAAGTACACTACACCGTACATAACGTTCGCATATCTCTGTGCTTCGAGCAAGCGTGCGGGTGCGGGTCACGGCCTAATCCAACTGTTTGGTACCCTCCTACTTCTCCATACATCTACTCCCGATCGCCGGTAAGCACTGGTGAACACTGGTGGACTTTAGAGAGATATCTCTATCTACCAGCGTGTTGATTTCACACTACACGCACTACAGCTCAAGGTGATGAGACGGGCGGCTTCCTTCTGATTTGTTTTCCACTACATACTCGACTGGAGAATTCCTTACCTATGATGAGCTTTGTAGGTAGTAGTTATATTTATTCTACTATTCCGCTGATTTTGTATCCGTTCTGTGCCGTTTGAACTCATTTGTGTTGTGTTCTTTTGAGTTGTGTTTCGTTTCTGTGGTGTTTTTCGTATTCTTTTTTCTTTTCTTTACATTCTTCTGCATTTTTAGTTCCGACCTGATTATGGTATCAAGGAATGTAGCGCACCTAGGAGTGCATATAATAAATAAATAAATATCTATATTGACCTGGTCGCCAGGGCACAGCGTTCGATGGGGATTCCCTACGGGGGGGGCGGGGGTCGTATGAGGCGCCAAAAGAGGGGGGGGTCCGTATTCGTGTGGGGCTAGGCAAAATTTATTTTAATAGTTGAATTGGGTTTTTCCGCTTTGGACTGTTTTGGAAAGGGGAGGGGGCTCGTAAGCTTGCTCATTGTTGGGCATGGGGGGGGTGCGTATTTCTGTCTAAGGAGTTAGCGTGGTTCAACGTTCATGGAATTCTTTTGTGTTATAGGTAGCTATGGTAAGCCGCGTGGCGAATGTACGTCGCATGCTTATTACATACCCCCCGCTCGATAACTTTTTCGCCGAGTATAAACCACAGCATAAACCACAACCACAGTCAGCCAGTCAGCCAATCCAGTGGTCATTCATGGAAAAGTCGCGACACCGTACGAAGCATGCGGGCGGGGGTCGTAAAGGGGGCCAGACCCCTGAAAAAACCAGAAGGGGGGGTCGTAAAAGGCGTCGACGCAAAATCCCCATCGAATGCTGTGCCCTGCTGCCGCTGTGGGAAGCTCTCGGAACTCTCAGCGGACGCCTACGCCACAAAGTATGTACACAGCCCAAAGCGTGAACAATTGACATTCAAACCTGTATGAGGATCAATATCGAAGGTTACCATGTCCCGAGGACTGTATTGCTTCCTATTTAGTGATTCAGCAATCGTTCCATTTCTATTGAATACAAAAGTATTCAACGCAAAAAATTCTATTGAGCGTTTTCAACGCTTTCATTTGCAGACCACCGATAGATATGGCCTTTTTTCAGTCATACATTAAAATACAGCTGAATATATTGTGTCGATCTATTATTACGACCCTTTTGTTATTCCCTTTCAAAATGCATTACAATGCATTTTGAAAGGGAATAATAAAAGGCTCGCAATAGAAATTTCATTGCATTTACATATTACTTCAGAAACTCTTGAATCCATTGCCTGCATGAAAGGGAAGTCAAAAACCGGCGCTCAATGGTCCCTGTGCTTTTGCCTCGCTTTCTTCACTCCAATAGCGTAGCTTCGAATCTCTCTTATAAATCTGCCGATCCAAGAGTTATTAGTGCGGCTACACAATTATATAAAGAGCTATTAGTGCGCTACATAGTTATATAAAATGGGGTATTTTGATTGTAATATTGAGACCATTGCAAATATATTTCTTTTTCATAAGCGCCAAGAAGGACCTCTTACCTGAGCCTAACAAGGAAGGACATTCAAGTCGTGGCGCGCTTTCTAAAAATGGTTTGTTGCATGTTGTAGGGGTCCATATAAGGATCACAAAAATGGGTTTCGTTTTTGCTATGCGTTCCTGGGAATGCCAAAAATGAGTGAAAACTTTGCTAAGGAAAAGCTAATTTGAGCCAATTTTCTGGGCTCTATTTCTAATGTTGAGTATGCATAGCGAATGAGACCTTCGTCGACCCTGCATCGAAAACAACACAAGTTAATATGAAAAATTTAATTGGCACACAGTGAGGCAGTATTGAAGTTTCTCAACATCGAAACCTCGCAGCATCCCATCCCAAACGTAGGGGAGGGTTTTGCGACCCATGTTGGGGCCAAACTGCCTCAGCGCCATTTATAAAGATCAGAACTCTGATCGGGGCCGTCTATCCCTATACGGGGGCCAAAAAAAGTCACTTCGACCGAGTCACATATCAGCAAAGTTTTCGCAGCCCAGAGAGAAGACGTGGATACGAGTACCAGGGCGGAAGATACCCAAGATGTTCCTCGATAAGCAGGAGCTGGCCCTCGCCCATCACCTTCATGTACACCAAAATATGAAGTCATCTCCAGTCGCAGCCTGACTGGAGAAGACCTTTGGAATTCATGTCACCTCCAAACAGCTGCGAAACTTCTAGTATGGAGTCACCCATGGGCCTGGAGACAGTACTCTCAATCTGGAAGACCTCCAACATCGAGCAGCTCCGACAACGTCGCTACGGTCTAGGACATCATCTTCACGGCAGTCGCCAAGGCGCGGGTTGATGGTATGGACCGGACGCACCTGGAATGGAAAGACCAATATTTTCTTCGTGGACCCCGGACTGAAGGTGAGCGCTGGCGGTTACATCGAGCAACTCGAGAAGAATATCCTCCCCACATGTCGTCGCCCGTACCTTCTTGGAAACTTTGTACTGCTACAGCATTGGGTGCCACCACATGGAATCGAAGGGCGTTGGAGAAACTCTCGCCTACTTGGAATGGAAGGGGGCTGAGTACCTAAAGAAGATGGAATATCCAAGTAGGTCACCTGACCTGAATCCCCTCAATTACCCGGTTCGGGCGGAGTTCAATAGGGTGGTCTACGGTGGCGGAGAAATCGACTATCTCGCTGATCTCAGGCACCACATCGCGTCGCGTGCCAGAATCTCTCGATGGCGCTCGTCCAGAAGGCTGTGGCGGAGTGTCATGATAGTATTTGATATGCTCTTTAATATGGTGGTAAAAATGTCCGATCAGAATTTAATAAAGTGTAACTTATAGCGCCTCGAAAGTCAATGAAGAAAAGTGACTTTTTTGCCCCCCCCCTGTATACTGTGCTTAAGCGAAATTCTGGTGGCTATCAGTATCCTGTAGAAGTCGTTATCCAACTTCGATACCTGAATTTTTCTATTTACTAGTATATACACTCATGATTAACAACTACAAACTTTAAAAAAGGGAAGATATAAGTAGTGCACAATAGCGAAGTTAAAGTGGGATCAGTTCCGCTGCATTTTTTGGTGCGTGCGGAACCAACACTGTAGAGAACCGGAGATGGGTAAGACGACAAATATCAAAATAATTGAACAACAATATTGATAGTTAGCATGAATGAAATTTGAACTGATATTTATTATTATATATAGGCTGCCCCAAAAGTTCGTGACAATTTCCAAAATCTCGTATCAAATCTTTTTGCTGCTATGGAAAGTGTGTTGAGTGAAGCATTCGCATTAGTTGGGCTTTTATCGTCCTAAGAGCTAGTTACGCTGTTCTCATATCCAAAACGGTAAATGAATCTAATCATTATCGTCACACTTCGCTATATGAAGTTCCACCAAGTCTCAACCTGGTTGAAGTCACTCGCGGCATTTGCTTTAAGTTAG